GCGGCCTGGGTGGTGCGGGCGGCGGTTTCAGGGGTGGCCCCCCACGGTGCCGGACCCACGGTGGTGCCGGCCACCTGCCCGCAGCACCGGACCCCGCGTCGCTCACCGCAGGGCAGCTCGTCCGAGAGGTCGCCGCAGTCATCGATGCCGTTGCACAGGGCCCCGCCGGGACCCCCAGGGACGCAGCCCCCGTTCCCGCACCGGAACTCCCCTGTGCCGCAGGGGCGCTGGCTCGGTGTCACCGCCATCATCACTGTCATCGTCACTGTCGCCACCGGCGCTGGCACCAGCACCACTGGCACCGTTGCCGGCACGGCCCCGGGCTGGGCGGGGGGCACTTTGGGGAGAGGGCAGTGGTGGGCAGGAGAAGGGGTCCCATGGGGGTGAGAGGGGTCCCCCCTTGCCCCCCCCGTACCTGGGGGGCAGCCCAGCAGCTCGGCGCGCAGGACGATGCGGTTGTGGAAGTCCCGGGGGAGGATGCGGACGTGCCGCGCCTGCACCATGCGGCCCAGCAGCCGCACCGCCGGTGTACCGGCATCCCAGTTACCCTGGAAGAGCTGTGGGGGACAGGCAGGGGTGTGCAGGCAGGGACGGGCAGAGGGGGGTGCCAGCCCCGTGCACCCCCCAGCGCCCACCCACGCACCTTGGCCTGGGGCCGGCCGCCGGTGGTGACCTCGCGGTAGTGGTGCCAGTGGGCGCCATCGACACTGAACTGCAGCAGGAAGGCGGTGACGAAGGCGTTGGAGGAGCCAGCTCCCTGCACGACCACCCCTGCCAGGGGACAGCGCGGCATGTGTCAGCACCGCCACCGCCGGTGACGGCCGGGGCTCCGGACAGGCAGTGCCTGCGGATGGGCACCCACCGGTGATGTTGGTGGGCTCCAGCAGGTCCAGCTGCAGGAAGGGGGGCTCGGAGAGCAGCGCCGGGTAGGCGTCGTCCGGGGGGGCCCAGCCCCGCAGCTCCTGCCCGGGGTCGCCGCCGTGCAGGCGGGCAGCGCGGGCAGGGGCCCCCGCCCGCTCCGCGGCGGGGGCGGAGCCGCGCGCACGCAGGGCGG